GTGCTACGAAAGCGAATTATGTGCTGAATCAGAATAAACCAAACTTAAGACGGATGAACTAAATAAGATGCACAGCCATGTTGGCAAGTATGAACTGACGGTTTCAAAGAGCAGCAAAGCAAGCAGAGAAACCAAAATCGCATCAAGAGAAGTAACCAAGCTGCTTGCCACAAAATCTAGTTCTCACGAACCGGGCTATGCGTCGAATTATTATACAGTGTTAGTGGATAAGATGCCGGATGCGGAACTTCAAATAGTAAGCGGAATAGCCAAACATCTATTGAGAAATTTAGAGCAAAATACAGCAAAGGCGAGAAAGTGGCATAAGCTCAAACTTGCAGATATATATATGTATATACATATATATAGCACAGGGAATGAGATAGAGAATGTACAAGTGGGGAATATGCGAATTTTAAGGAATTGTTTTAAAGATAGGATGAAAGATCAGCGGAATATACCTGGGGTAGAACTGCAAATTGCACGAGGCCGGTCAATCGTACAAAAACTAGGTAGATTATTAGTTGAACCTAGGAGCAATCCTGACGCAAATTAGATTAGAAAAAGCTACGGCCACGTTCGTGGAAATTCGACATATTAAACGACGGGAAGATAATAGTAAACACCGCAGGGGCATCACAAATGCTTGTTAGGTGGAGCACAATGTATGTATAATGCTACGTTGAGAGAAAGAAGAAACAGAAAAATGAAAGGAAGTTATAAAAGTGCAGAAAGAAATAGTGATTGAGTGATTGTTTGGATAACTTGACGCAGTTATCAGCGATGTGTCCAGAAAAACGCCTAATGGATTGTGAGGTGCAGCTGTTATCTTTCGAAAATCTAGGATTCAGTGAAATATAGAAGCCTTTATAGAGGCTAAAAAGAAATCGGAAAGAGGACTAACCGGTGATTATGGAAATTTGCCAAAAACTACGTAAGATGTAGCAAAGACAAATCTCATAATCAAACTTTGAACGGACCTCAACTTAAGAGGCGAAATATATATGCAAACCACAAAAGGAGCATGCATTGACAATCTTAGGCGCAAAGTTGTGCTGAGGAGAGTTGAAAATTTCATTTCCAGTGGTGGTAATAAACAAAAAGGTCAGATGCATGGATGCAATTAACTTCTGGCGGTGGCTGTAGGCAAGGCTGAAGTAGTTGGGCCGGATCCAGCTGCCGCATTAGAAGAGAGGGCAGAAAGGGTCCCAGAACTAGTGGTTACTGTGGCATCACCGGAACCAGAAAGTTGTAATTGATCTAATTTTTTCCAAAGCTCCTCACGTTCCTTCTCACGCTTTCGTTCCCTGAAATGGTAATATTAACGGTTAAAATGGTATCGATTATAATAGTAACTCACTAAAGAGGTGAAGAAATTTTCCAAATAAAATAAACCTATAGTAGCATAAATGCAATAATGGAAGAATAACCTTGTGGAGTGATAAGTAGCAACTCTGTGTGCCTCTCACTGAGGATGCCCGCGAACAGTCTGTGAAT